CCCCCGCGCCCGCGCATCATCATCATCAAATAGCTTTAAGGAAGTACGCTCATATCTACCAGTTATAGGACGGTATTGTGCCAGTTCTTCTGGAAGGACCTGGGGGCGAGGGAAGAACGGGGTGAACCAAGTAGGAAATCGAATTAGAAACAACACTGAAGGAACTGGCACGGCTTCTGGCCCAAAGGTAGAGCTGTATTCAAGCAAGTACCAGCCTGAGAAAGAGAAGCGTTTGTTCGGTATTCCTAGTCAATAGAAAAACCAAATAAATTAGTGTGCCATCGTAAATTAGCTTGGTCATCAGAAAGGCCTTGTGAATAATAAAGGAATAATAAGCATGCAGAGCCCTGGTATAGCACTTTAAAGGCTTTTTCTTTCTTTCTTTCTTTTTCCAAGGCCTATCCATTATTGGCCTTCGTTTGTCACGAGGTACCAGACCGGTCTTTTAAGAGCGGCTGTGATAGCTCCCTCTCTCAATGTGCATTAGTAATCCTTTGACCTTGGAGGAGGTAGAAGAGGGCTTCCAAAAGCTGATGGGAAAGTTGAATGAAAAGATCAGGGACTGTTCCCACAAACATTCGGAACCCCCCCTCGTAGGTGAGACTGTCTTGGAGACCAGGGGCTGGACAAGATCCTTCAATCCTGGTGTGTTCTAGATCACCGACCAATTCACTGCCTTCTCGCCACCGCCGACTCATAGCGACCCTACCAGCCAGGGCAGAACTGCCCCCGTGGGCTTCGGAGAGCGTAACTCTACTCTTCAGGAGCAGAAAGTCTCATCCTTCTCCCTCAGAGCGAGGGTCTGCCCATGACATCATGTGGGCCCAATTGAACCTGCCACCTTTTTTATATGCCCTGCGCGTCAAGAAGGATTTTATATTCTTCAATGACTGGTAAAAAAAAAAATCAAAAGAAGAAGAATATTTTGTGATATATGAAAACTGAAGTCCAAACTCACTACCATCGAGTCGATGCTGACTCATGGCGACTCCACAGGACAGGGTAGCACTGCCCCTGTGGGGTCCTGAGACTGTAGCTGCTTCCCGCAGTAGAAAGCCAGGTCTTTCTCCCAAGGAGCCACTGGGTGTCTCCAGCGCTGACCTTGCGGATCATCCGTATGTAGCCCAACGGGCAACCATTGCGCCATGAGGCTCGAAGTCCAGGATCCACAATAAAGTGTTACTAAAATAAGACACACCTATGGGACTGGATGCTGTTGGTAGCGGTGTTCACACTCCAGTGGCAAAGTACTTGTCCCGCTCCCATTCTAGACTTTGAGGAGCTCTTGGTTTACTTTGGTCTGCTCACGGGGAGGTCAGCAGTTTGAGACCACAAGCTGCCCGTCAGGAGAAAGATGAGGCTTTCTATTCCCGTCATGAGTTTCCGTCTCAGAAACCCCTGTCCTCTGGCGTGGCTCTGAGTTGGAACCAACCCGAGGGCAGTGAGCCTGGTTTGGGTCGTCCAGACGTCCAAGGCTGACTCCCTGCCATTGAGTGGAGCCGGACGCACAGAGCTACCCTCTGCAGAGCATCTTAAACGGCGGGTCGTGGAACTGACTATGGGGGCCGTGAAAAAAATTGGCAATAGTAAGAGGTTTCTGAATGAGAAGTGACCAAAAATAAATTCAACATCCAACTCAATGAATGCAAAGCATTTCTGGCAGGGCTTGCCCGTTGCAAATTCCTCGGGCAAGGGGGAGTTGAGAATGGGAAGATTTTAAGAAGCCCTGAAGTAGAACTGCCCTTGTAGGTTTCCAAGGCTGTCAATATTTATGGGAGCAGAAAGCCTCGTCTTTCTCCCATGGAGTGCCTGGTGGGTTTGAACTGCCCACCTTCCCCAATAGTCATTCTGTAATTTATATGAATGGTTAAGACCCTGAATACTCACCAGTGCCCTTTTCATGCAGTTGTGGGGAGAATGAAAGGATTTCATGTGGTCAGAATTTAGAATTCAGTTCTATATTATCATCACTTAATAGATGCCCCCATTATGGGGATAATTGTTTGCACAGTACTGTTCTAGGCCCCTAGGAACCCTGGTGGCATAACGGTTATGCACTGGGCTGCTAACTGCAAGGTCAGCAGTTTGAAACCACCAGCCACTCCGCGAGGGGAAAAGATGAGGTTTTCTGTTCTCATGAAGAGTAACAGTCTTGGAAACCCACGGGGCAGTTCTCCTCTGTCTGTACAGTTACCGTGAATTGGAATCAACTCTCTGGCAGTGAGGTTGAGTGTGCTGAGCCCCTCCCAGTCTTATCCTTACTAAAACCCTGTGACACAGGTATTTTTACCCTTACTTTCTTTACACATGAGGAAATAGAGGCTCACAGAGATTAAATAGCTTGCTCCAAACCACCCAGCTAGGAGTTGAGATTTAGAGCCAGATCTGACTCATTCCAAAGACCCTTCTGAATTCCTATCCTGGTGAAGCAGAGGGCTGCACGGATTGTGAGATTCTGAGAATCTTCTACCCAAGGACCCCTTTGCTTCTCTCCTGGAGTCATTCGCCCGTGTCCGTCGTTGCTGCCTCTCCTCTGTCCCCTCCTGCCCCTCCTCCTCCATCTGTCACTGGAGACGGGACACTCGACCCAGGTAGGTGGAGGACCTGCCGTTTACTGGGAGGCACTGGCGTGATGCCTAGTTATTTACGAGCCCCATTTCAAGGAGGACAAGAGAGAGCAGAGAGGTAGACTTTTCCAAGGTCCCACAGCTGGTGCGAGGCCGGGCAGTCCAGTCCTGCCTTCCCTCTGGAAGACCGCAGGCCCTTTCCTGACATCTCAGTTGGCGGCTTCTCTGCTGGGAAGGAGTCTGCTCACCAAGGCCGCAGGCAGCTCTGTCAGCAGTCCTCACAGATCGCTGACAGAAAGGGGTTCCTTTGCCAGGCCACCCTCAGCACCCTCTCTTATTTGGGTGCTGGGTGCATTAGCTGCCTCTGGTTGGAATAAATCTGTAATTAGCCTGCCCTGGTTGTATTTGCATAATGGATTTCACTTCCGTTCTTAAGTTAATGGTGTTTTTTGCAACAGAACAGTAACCTCTTGGTGCCTAGCCATTAAAATAGCTGCCACCCTGGAAGATAGAGCCGCAGTTTGAGAAGGAAATTCAGTGAAGAACCATAAAGAAGGTGGGTACGGAGGTTAGGGTCCCCATTGCCGCCCGGGTCATCTGCCTTCTTCCCTGGAGTGTTGGAAGGGTCATGGAGGGAGGAGCCTTAAGAGTGGGAGCCCTGGAAGGATTGCAGGCTCCCTCTCTGACAAGCAGCCCAGCCCGAGGAGCCCCTTCATCTTGTTTCTGGGGAAGGAGGTTCTGAGCGCATGAACTACATCTGTGGGCCAAGGCCCATCTGCCAGCTTGTCATACCGTGGGGGCTGGTGTTTCACTGTGCCACTGGAGGCGATGCTGTCAGAATTTTGGATACCAGGAGGGTCACTCACGGGGAGACAGATTTCAGCAGAGGGTCCAGACAAAGGCAGAGTAGCGAAAAAGGTCTGGTGATCTATTTCTGAAAAGTAGCCGGTGAAAATCCTTCGCAGGACAGACTATTGATGGAGACTTCTGCTTGCTTATTTTGGACTTTTGATGGGCAGGGTTGATGACCGGAGAGGGGACCCCCCTGTTTGGTAGAGAAGAAGGCTGGCGAAGGAGGAGGCCCCCCATGAGAGGGATTGACACTCACTCACCCGCTGCCATCAAGCCAATTCTGACTCCAGGGACACACTGGCTGCAACCACAGGCCCGCCCAGCGCAGGCCTTAGGAAGCTGGGCTGGACCGGGCATCATTCCTGCCCAGGGAGCATGGGAACACCCGATCTCCAGCCCCCACTGTAGCAGCTAACAGTAAACTGGAGGGCAGAGACTGAGCCGGAAAAGTTACAAGGCCCAAGACAATGTATTGAAAATGATAATGGCAGCAATCGTGCAACTCTGCTTGATCTAATGGAACTCTATGGAACTATGGATTGTAAGAGCTTCTAATGTGTTTTTTTTTTTTAAGTTACAGTGCCAATAGCAATAGTAAGAATCAAGACAGCAGCCGCCGCCTCTATGCAACTCCTGCCTTCAAAGAGCCTCACGGCTGCATGCAACTACAGATACACGTTCCAGAAGGTTCCCACCAGGCCTGCCCAGTGCTGGCTACCTGCACACCATACTGTTCCAGCAGTTTCCCCAGTTGACCTTCTGCTGGCTTTGAACTCGGGATCTGAACTCAAGGCCTGGCAGGAGCGGGCACCCCTATGGGGGTGATCATAATGGCAGTGAGCCAGATACTCCCTGTGGCTGGCACTCCGCTGGCCCTGTGTCCCTCTCACTGCATTTCAAGTTTCCAAGGCATTGCCACCTCATACATTCAGATGTGGGACTGTGAGTTCAAGGAATTCTTCCCCCAAGACCCAAGGGAACCTGTGCAGTTGGGTTCCAGCCTCCTGCTCCAGCCGGGCCCATATCTGGTAACACTCCTCCATCATGTGGGTGTAGAAGTCTTCACAGTACGCCCTTCGGATAATCCGGCTCTGTCCGTGGGAGCTTCCTCTGGAGTGCGGCAGCAAGAACTGGGCGTGAAGAACGAGAGACCATGGAAGCTGCTATTCCTGCCTCTGTACAAGCCCTTCTGCTTCCTTCCCACTGACATCATGCACGTCAGGAAGTCCCTTGGTGAGCTAGCCTTCACTCGTCCTGCTGTAATCTCACCCCACTTAGACCCACAAAGCACCTTAGCTAGAAAGAACCCCCTTGGCAGGGGTGGTGGGGAGACAAAAAAAAACCAAACTCATTGCCATTGAGTCAATTCCGACTCATGGAGACCCCTGTAGGACAAGGGTAGAACTGCGCCTGTGGACTTCTGAGACGGTAACTCTTCATGGGGGTAGAAAGCCTCCTCTTCCTCCCCCTGGGGGTGGTGGTAGGGGTGGGGATGGGAGCTAACAATAAGACAAGAATCTAGACAATGTTCTGAAATTCATTGTGATGTCAATGCCCAACTCTCTTTAATATATTTAAGCCACTGAATTGTAAAAACAAGAAAAGCAAGAAACCTCCTCATTTTCTGGAGAAGGAAGCTGGGGCTGACTTTATTGCTCTGTGGCTTCAGATCACTCAAGGCAAAAGGAACACTCGGGGATTTAGCAAAAGATGGGGGGCGGCTCCTTGGAGGGGGAACCCCTCGGGCCTTAGGAAGGCTGAAAGAGAAGTGAAAAAGGTGTTCTAACCTCCCCCAGCTCACCACCCACACGAATACACTGCAGTCAGCAGGTGGGGCTGCAGGCAGAAGGGAGGGGAAGAGACCACGGTGAAGGCCTTGGGTCCCCTCCCCAGCCAGGTGGACCCGCCCTCCGAAGGAGCCTGCATGGGACTCGGCACAGGTGCCCGGCCACCATGGCCTGGAACTCCATGAGAGCCTCCTCGATCAGGGACAGCAGGCCCAAGTCTCTCTTCCTGTGTATCAAACCAACCCCCAGTGCACTGCCATCAAGTCCCGTCTGGCTCTTAAGGACCCTATCTGGGGATTCCAGGACTGTCCATCTCGACAGGAGCAGACAGCCTTAGCTTTCTTCTGGGGGGTGGTTGGTGGCTTTAAACAAATGGCCCCCCTTTCTGTTAGCAGCCCAGCATCTAGTCATCAAACAAGGCCGGTGTTGTTCTCTAGAAGCGGCAGGGGGAGAAATATATATATATGTGTGTGTGTGTGTATATACATACATATATATACATATATATATATGTATATCCCTCTTCTGGGTCCTAGGATGAGGCCAACCATCACTTTCTACTCCCATCAAGAGCGACAGTCTCGTACACCCACAGGGGCAGTTCTACCCTGTCCCCCAGGGTCACTGTGAGTCAGCATCGACTCGATGACGGTGACTTTGAGAGCCAGATGCTGACAAACCAACTTCTGCCTTGAGACAAAGTGGTCTTTCCTCAAAGCTGCCCCCAAGTTAATACAGAAGAGGCTGGGCCACCGCAGGGAGAGCACAGGGCCTGGGACACTTCCTAGGTGAAGGGCAGGAGCTGGGAGGCAGCTCCCATGGGGATGTGTCCTCCAGCCTGGGACTGTCTCAGAACTGTGGTGAAACCCACCACGCCGCGACACTTCCATTGCACAGAATGTGGGATGCCATGGGCCCTTTGCCTGCCGGCTCTGGAAACCCCTCGCTAGGGCAGGAGAGAAAGAAGATCCAGAGGTCAGGAATGCCCAGAGAACACAGTACCTGCTCCAGAAGGAGGACCCTCTTCCCGCGTTGGGCCAGGTGGTATGCAGTGAAGCAGCCCTGAATGCCTGCCCCTGTCACGATGGCATCGCAGAGATATTTGGGGGAAGCCATGGCACCCACTGAGTCAGCTCGGTAACCACAGAGTCCACCGAGGGGAAGGCAAACAGAAAGCAGGCTCGCGGCCATAAGGGGAGGAGGAAGGCAAAGTCCAGCCTGGTCAGATTTCCCACAATCCCCTGGGGCCATGGCCTTCTCCCCACTCCTTTCCCTGCCACCCCGCCACCCCCCAAAGCTTGGCACAGGCCTCAACCCCTGCCTCCCTTGCAGAACAGAGCTGGGGAGGCTGATGTGTGAGGTTTCACCCAACTCAGCTGCCAGCCTCACCCTTGCATCCCTCCAGCTTTCTATTCTTGGCCCAATTATTGTCATGCAAATGGGCTCCTTCCTATGCCACCTTCCTGTCTCATTATGATCTTTGTCTCAGGACTTCGGCCTTGGAATTTCAATGCCTCCCAGACCAAGCTGGGCACCGGGAATGCTGCCTCCCCCTACTGGCTTTTCTCTGGGCAACCTGACTTCCTAGGGAGATTCTAGTAGGCCAAGCTAAGAAGTTGGCGCTATGCCCAGAATAAGACCCACCTGCCTGGTGGGGATTGAGGTCAGGTGGGTCGAGGTAGGGGCAAATTGGCAGGGTAGTTTGGCGATTATGAAATTACTCCTGGCATGTTTCCTTTTTAAAAAGAAGAAGAAACGATCCCTGAAAACGAGGGGAAAGACAGCAGGAGAGGAGGAGCCTCCCCTTGGGCAGAGAGAGAGAGGATCAGGCAGCAGTGGCTGGTGCAAAGACGGGCCCTGTAGTGAGCACTCCCTCCCGACAGCCCCAGCGGTGTGCTAAATAAGTACTTTTGCAAGCGTTTGGAACAGGTCCATGACTTACAGGGCCTGATTCTTATACAATTTGGGGGTCCTTTTTAAGAAGAAGAAATGAAAAATTATGACTACCCAATTAGGTGCCGGGACTGGAAGAGACCATGCAATTAAGGAGCTCTGGGGTTGAAGTTTCATTAGCATCGCGGTCTCTGTCTTTGCAGGCAAGAGCTCCTCTCATCCTTTGAGCCTTAGGAATAAGTATTTTTAGCCCCAATTGTGACAGAGAAAAGATGGCCCCCGATGCTTTGACACTCCTCCCACCATGGGCTGTGTGACTGCTTGCCCGGGAGAATAAGGGGCTCTGTGCCAACCTCTGGCCCAGACTTTTAGAGAAATCCCCCCTCTTCTCTCAGAATGCTTGCTCTCAGAGGCCAGAGCCGACCGATGAGAAGGCCAACTGCCCAGCTGGAGCGATTGCATGGACAGGAGGACGTGGAAAGGGGAGGGGCCTGGCTGGGTTTGTCAACGTGCCAGACTGAAGAATGAAGCCCCCTGAGCCCTCCAGCCCAGCTCAGCCACCAGCTGAATCCTGCCGAGTGACTCAGTCAAGGCCACGTGGGACCGAGGACTGCCCCCGGCGCAGCCGGGTCTCCGTACCTGACCCACAAAGTTATGAGCTAGGATACAAGGGTTCATTTTAAGCTGCTAAGTCTTGGGGTGCTTTCGTAGGCAGCAATAATGGAAGCCCCACTTCCCAGCCAAAGCCATTCAGGCTTGGAGAGGTTGAAACTTGCCCAAAGCCGCACCCCTGGCATGCCTAGGGCCCTGCGCTGTCCACTTAGATTCCTTTGCCCCCAAACCTGCTCCCTGCGCTCCTGGGCACTCCTGAGAGCTGGTCGTGAGGGTTCTCGTGGCTACACTGTGTGGGAGAAGATGACGAACTGGAAAAGCAAGCGATGGCAGAGAGGCCCAGTTGCGGCATGGTGGCCTGTCCCTTGCCCCCACCCCCCATGCTAATGCTCCTCAGTCCACCAATAATCCCCTGAGTGACCTTGAACTGTCCTCTCAGTCAAGTCCTTTCTTTCCAAGACTATGGAGCCCAGAGAAGGGTGCCATCTGACTGGCTTTTTATGTTTCTTTTCTTTTCTTTCCTTCTTCTCCTTAAAATTTTTTTTTCTTTTAAAAAATTATTTTAGTGTCAAGAAGTCTCACCCCACGCCAGTCAGGACTGCATCGCCAGGCAACGGCTGGTTACAATGGCAGGTGCGACTGAGAAGACCGTCCTATTTATGGCTGCCCAAACCCAACCCAAACCAAATCCACCGCCATCCAGTGACGCTGACTCACAGCGACCCTGTAGGACAGGGCAGAAGTGCCCCTGTGACTGTGTATAGAAGTGAAAGCCCTGTGTGTCTCCCTGGGAGAGGCTTCAAACTGCAGACCTTGTGGTCTAACAGCCTAATGCATCACCACTACGCCACCAGGGCGCCCATGTATGGACAGGCTGAGTATGAATGTATAAGGCCAGTCCCGGTTTCCCCTGAGAAGATGTCAGAGGAGATGAATCGTTTACACACAAGAAGCACAAACACTAAGCCCTCCCCTGGATGTGTGCCCGGCTATCCCGTGATGGAAGGAGAGGGAATTAAATGGCTTCCAGGTACTATTATGCGCCTATTAGGTTAGCAAAAAAATAAATAAATAAAAGCAATAAAATCTTAACTTGCCAGTGCCGCGGGGCCGGAGATGGAGAGGGATGGCTATTCAGATGGCCAGGGCCTTCTGGAAAGTGCTCTGGTCATGTGCCTTCTGACCTAGAACTCCTGCTTGGAAAACCACACCCCAAGGGAAGGAAAGGGATGCCGCAGAGACCCTGGAGACCCTGGAGTGGGGCTTTGGGACATAAGAAATTGGAACCCCACTGTGGGAAACGACTCGCAGGCCCGGGGCTTGGCCACATGGAAAACTGGGGAGCTATTCAACATGGCAAGCAGCTGGCTCTGGGCTACAGGGAAGTGGGTCTTGGAAATCCGAGTTGCCGTGTCTGTTATCAAAGATCTGAAAAAGAATGCAGTGAAGTGCCTGAGCTGAGTGCTTCCTAGTTTCCATCTTCCATGGAAATTGCTGCCATTCACAATTTGTCAAAGAAGTTGAAGTCCCGACCGTCGCCACTCCACCCCCACCAGCCCAGGGGATCAGTGGCTTGCGGTCTGCCAGGTCACTGGTTCCAGGGCCTCTGGAAATTCTGTCTCCGTTCTCATCCCAGTCCTTCCTGCTGCCCCTGGACCTTTCTGCTTGTTCTGTGGAGCGGCTCTGAACCCACCCCCACGCTCCTCCAACCTATATTTCATATAATGTCTCTTCAGAGATAGAATGACAATTCCATTTCCCCATCCCTCCTTAACAAGCCTGCCCTGGATTCCGGACTCGGCATTCGGCTCCTTGTTAAGAATTTCAAAGAGTTCCTCCCAAAGCAGCCTGCCCCAAGCGCCACAGGAAACGCGGTGGCTCGTCCTCTGCCTTCCCTCCTCCCATCTCGTGGCTGTCCCGACAGGGCCAGGTGGAGGGAAGCGGATCCCCTCAAACCCCATGTTAACAGCCATTCTGGAGAGCATGGCTATTAAAGTGAGAGCCGCAGCCTTACACCTCGTTGCTTGTGTGTGTCAGCAATTGCTGCTCATGTCCTGGGGCAGGGACTCCGAGCGGCTCTGCGGATGCTTGATTGACACTTCGCAGACTGGGGCGGGAGAGCTACAGGGCTCGGGAATAATGAGAGGACCAGAAGGGAGAGGGAAGAGGGGTGGGGAGAGGAGAGAGGGGAGAGGGGGAGGGGAGAGGGAG